GCTATACTATTGCTCCTACCCCCTACTGAATAATTTTAAGAAACTGTGGTTTTATGCAAATCATTTCACCTTGGGTTGATGAAAAAGTGACATTCCCGAGTTATTTCATTTTAGTCCCTCCTTTTCCTTTCCCTTCTCCTCCTTCGTGTGTGTGTGTGTGTGTGTGTGTGTGTGTGTGTGTGTATGTGGTGCCAGAGATGGAATCCAGCTATCATGTATGCAAGGCATAGATTTGGACTTGATTACAGCACTGGGCCTAGACCAGTGTTTCTTGACCTTTACCCCCCTGCAGAGAAGCACTGCCCCATGAACTGAAGGCAGGGAATCCCTGCGCTCAGCTAGGATGGGGCAGTAGGAGCCCTTGGACTAGCCAAGAGTTCACAATTCTGCAAACATCCTTTTACCTCAAAGGAAGGACAACCTGGAGTCCCCAGTGCCCAGTGGGACGCACTTTCTTGGCCCTCCGCACTGTGGCTGCAGAGGGCAGCTTTCAAGCAGACCCTCCCAGGATAGACCCCACTTTACTCCTCTCAGTTTGTCCTATCCAGTCTCCCTTTCTGTATGAAGACCACCATTACTCAGGATGGCTGCATGACCCAGGGTCATTTATTTAAGATTTTTGATTGGGTTGCCCTTCATGACTCACAAAGTTAAAATGTTATTCATAATTAAGTTTCAAGCATACAATGGTCCCACACCAATCCCATCACCAGGGTCCCCAGTTCCTCTCTCTCCCACCCCCAGACTGCCTTTAGGGCAGGTACTTTTTCTTTCTTCCTTTTCTTCCCTTTTAAGCACTGTGGTTTCCAATACTGTTCCAACAGGGTCCTGTGCATATCACCCAGTCCTCGTCAGGAGTGACCACTTCCTCCTATCGTTGTTGGTCCCTGACCTGCCCTATCCCTCTCCTCCCCTTCCCACGGCAAACTTCCTGCTAAGGACCGATTCTCAGGGTCACTAGCAGGCCCCAGCCTGCCCACCAAAAGCCACTGGAGGATGCGGGCTCCAGCCTGGACCCAGCAGAACTCAGAGCCCTGTGCGCTGCTGCAGCTCTGCCAGCACCATCTGCGCTGCCCCCTTCCTGCCCTACTCCAAGTCTTTTCTCCCCCAAGGCAGCTGGCAGAGGACAACAGTCCTGGGCTGTGGCTCCCAGGACACACAGAGCGTGGCCCAGTCTACAACAGGGCTTGCGCTCAGCACGGTGCCAGGGGGCTCCCGGTCAGCAGCAGCCTGGGTTTCTTTTCACTTCCTCCCTTGAGAGTTTTTCATCCACCCAAGGGTGCTGCCAATTGCTGGTAAGCTGACGAGAAAGAAAAATAGCAGGAAATGCTAGAGTTTAGGGACTGTGTGTCTGGCTAGTCAAGGACACTGTTTCAGGAACCCCCAGAAGCCTTACAAAGAAATCGTTTTGAAATATATTACCTCTGCTATTGTTTACGCAAAAAAAAAAAGGGTGGCTTTGTAAAATGGAGTCCAAAGGCATCCTTGGTCTATAAATAGGAAGGACTTTGTAGTAAAAGAACAGCTTGTTCATCAAAAGAAAACAATTAAGGGGAAATGTGAAAGGAAGAGAGCTGAATGCAGAGCTGAGCATGAACTGAGCTCAACACTCACCCAGGCAATGCAGGGCTGAGGAGCCTCTTGTGCCCCTCACTTCATGGCCCCCTGGGAAGCTAACCCTGTTTATAGGTCGAAGAGAAGATCACTGTCCGAGATCAAACAGTTAGGAGTGGTGGAGTTCAGGGCCAGGAACCAGGCGCCAAGATCACGGATGTTTTCTCTTTATATCTATTTTTTCATTGCAGTGCTGTGTGACTTGGTTCCTGCATGTTTGAGTCAGAACCCTGCAGTCCTCCCTCCCTCGTCAGGTCCACCATGCTGGTAGGGTGGCACCAGCACACTCAGAAGCTGGGCCCCTCTTCCGGTTTTAACAGAAGACGCTGTCAGCTTACTCCTTTCAAAGGAGTTATTTGTGAGGAGTGCAGATGATGTGGGCCAGACAGTGTTAAGTGCTGGTCTTGATGTGATCCAGCCCGGTTGATCCCCAGCCCCACACAGAGGCCCCTAAACACCTCCAGTAGTGAGCTTTGAGCACAGCTGGATCGAGTCCTCAACAAATATGAAATGAAAATGTATTAGTTTGGGGACTACAGCCGGCCGTGCTCATAAATCACTCCTGGTGATGCTCAGGGGGCCAAATGTGTTGTCAGGAATCAAATCTGCGTTGGTCATCTTATCTACTGTACTATCTCTCCAGGGACAATATATCAAAATATAAAAAATTAAAAGTAAATGGAAGTACAGATGATAAGGTAAAACACAAAGGCCTACTTGATTTAGTCATTTGCTAAAATACAGTTCCTATACACCTTTCCCACTGGTGGCCTCCTTCTGACCTTGCTTTCTTCTGGACCCCACCCCTCCCACCGCACCTTGCCCGTTAGCCCCCGAACTCTCATGCCAGAGCTTCCCACTGAGGTTTCATCTGTGGTCCCTTTAAAATATCCTGGGTATAAGCACATTAATGGCCATGATCCAGATACAGATAAATCACTCGGAAGAGAGCAACACGAAAGCAACATGCCACAGAGATGTCTCCGGATCCCAAAGTCACCATCCAATTAAAAAATAATAATAAATTAAACTCAGCTGTGTCACTATATTTGAAATTTTAGAATTCCTGAAGCAACAGCCACAAGACATCTCATAGTCTACACCACTGATGTACCAGGAGTAGTATGCCACATTTGATGGGGTGTAAAGTAGAAGGCACCCAATCTTGGGGAAAAAAAAAAGTATATATATGTCACTTGTCATCCCATTGATCATTGATTTGCTTGAGTGGGTGCCAGTAACGACTTCATTTGTCCCTGTTGCATGCTAGCATAGTCCAATGGCATATTGGGGGCTCTTTCAGGATCAGGGGAATGAGGCCTGTTATTGTTACTGTTTTTGGCATATTGAATATGCCACAGGTATTTTGATAGGCTCTGCCGTGCAGGTGAGGCACTCTCGGTAGCTTGCCGGGCTCTCCAAGAGAAGGTACATCAGTGAGCTAGAGTATAAGAGGTCACGCGGCAGCAAATGCAGCTGCACACTCCAGGAAAAACTGCATCGCCTTCTTCCAGGAGCTTTATTTTATAATCTCTGTATCTTAGCCGTTGATGAGATTACATGGTGCCGAGAGCAGTTTGTGGGTGTGACTGCCAAGCTACTGGAGAACTCGGGATCTGGGTGGAGGCGCCCCATTCCTGATCCGAGCAGGCTTGGAGATCTCATCCATGGGTTCCACATACCTGTGTTTCTCTGTTGGTTCCTTCATGCTTGAGGCTCGTTCGAGCATGTGGAGAGTGGCCTTGAGCATGGTTGTGACTAGGTTCTGGAGTTTTTCGGCTGCCGGGGTTCTGCTTGGGGCAGGGAGGGAAACTCAACCCGCCACCCTCTGAGGGGCCCCAATGAAGACAGCCTGGCGTGGGGGCAGAAGACTCTGGACATATATATATATATATATATATATATATATATATATAAACACATATATAGTATATATAATATATATATTCAGGACATATATATATATGTATTTATATGTATACAGACACACAAGGCTCAACCTTTAATAACATGTTAGTAATCTCTTATTCAAGGGCTTAAGGGCTCCAGAGTGAGATACAACAATCTTCACATACTTTCCTCTAAGGAGACTTTTTTGGTTCATTTTTAGCAGATTATTCGTAATAAGCAATACAGAATAAATTATTTAGGTCTTGCTTTGGGGGCAGGGTTTGGGGTGAAAACATTCAAAATATGGTGGTGGGATTGCTGTGGGAATATTAAATGTAACAAATAATTGTGAAAAACTTTATAAAATTAAAAAAAAACAAAACAAAATGTCCTGGGAACTTGAAGGGGACACAAACTGCCCGGCTGAAAAAAACGACTGACAATATAACTTCCTAACAGACCGAGGATATTAACAGGCAGTTTATAGGTTGGTGAAATAGCAATGGACAATTTTTAAATGTTTTTCAATTATTATTTGATAATTACAAATTAAAACCATACAGACATCCTCTTCTAGCTGTCAAACTGGCACAATGGGAAAGCTGGCACCCTGTTCGGGAGGGGGGGGGCCTGGCACCCATCTCCAGAGCTACGCCTCATGCTGCCGCCTCCAGAGCTCTGCATCCCCCGTGGACTGACTCACAAGCAGAGAACCACCCACATCCAACACGTACTGCAGTGTGGTGGAAACTGCAATGGATTAGGGATCATCAAAATAACCTCCCATCCAAAGGTACCTGCTCAAACAGGCAGGGACAACCCAAATGTCCACCCACCCTGAGTAAGTGGGAGCCCCCCAATATTGCCACAGAACCCTTCAAATAAGTGGGGGAAAAAGTTAAGAAACATGCAAGGAACAGGTGCAAGAGGCAGCTGCAGTGGGGGCTTTGTGTTTTTTTTTTTTTTTTCAGTGAGGCACCATGAGGTACAGTTGTATACTTACAGATTTTTGTGCTTGGGTTTCAGTTATACAATGATCAAGTACCCATCCCTCCACCAGTGCCCATTTCCCACCACCACGGATCCCAGTATCCCTCCCACCCCCGCATCTCCCTCATCCCACCCTGCCTCTGTGGCAGGGCATTCCCCTCTATTCTCTCTCTCCTTTTGGGGGGGGGGGGGGGCTTTGTGGTTTACTCTTTAGAACTTGAGTCTCGAACCACGTAATTGTTACTCAGGGGAGGAAAAGAACATATTGAAGGCAGCTTCTTGCTGATTGCTGACTTTGTCCCAGCTGAGACGTCCCACTCACACTGAGGGTACTTCAGGGTACTTCCCAGAGTGGTATCCAGGGTATTTCCCGGAGTGTCCAGGTACTTCCCAGTGGGGGGGGGCTCCCAGTCCTGCACTCCCTCACTCTGGGGGGCACGAGACCTGCTGCTCTGTGCTTTAGGGCCGTGGGGCCGGAGGCAAAGGAAGAGGCAGACCCGAGAACCTAACTTTAAAATAGAAATCAGCTTTATTTCTCTGGAAGAAGCACATAGCCACAGCTGGGGAGGCAACGTTGGCAACACAGAACAGCACAGGGGAGAGCTGGGTCAGAGGAAGCACGGGCGACCCTCCCGAGCAGCTGCCCCCTTGGTCTCCGTCCAACTGCGGGGCTTGCCCTGCAGAGCTCTGGCAGCCTGGCTCTGCTTAGCCATGTCCGACGAGCTCCAGGCTACAGTCCTCAGTCACAGTGTGTTCGACCACCCACGACTGCCCGCAGAGGCTCCCTGGGGGAGGGCCCTTAGGTGCGGGCCCACCTTCCTGGGTCTCCCACACACTCTCCCTTTCTGGGGAAGCCTGGCTCCCCGCCCGCAGGGACACCCTCCCATTGTGGCCAGGGACATCCTCCCATCGTGGCCCCGCCGGGGGCCCGAACCACAGGGCCTGCCCTCACAGCGCCCCCTCCTGTACCTGGGCTGGACCAGTTACAGGACAGGGGAGGGAGACAGGAGCAAGGCAGGCTCCCAGCTGCCTGCTGCCTCGGCCAAGTGACACCAGGTCCTCCAGTTCCGGGTGGGGCGTCTCCCCACCCTGTGGATAGAGACTCAAAATGATTCCTTCAGGGAAAACCCTCAGCTCTCCGGACAGCTCAGCGCCTGCAGGACAGAAAGCAGGGAGAAACACCTGTGTCCGTGAATAGGCACTGGTACTCCTGGAAAACGGGTTAGCAAGTTACTTCTGAATTTACTATCCCAGCATTCACCCCTCCCCCTCCCCTCCCCCTTTTTAATGTAAACCACAAGAACAGCAATACTGAATACGGGAGTGTGCAATACCGAGCCACAGACAGAGAAAACCTGAGTTTCTTTGGCTGTGAATTAGGAAGAGTGAGCAGGAGCGAAGCACTAGGCGGGGTATCCCCCCGGGTGCCACACTGGCCGCCCACCGCACCTCCAGACCTTCTCATCTCGTCAACGATCCATGGATCGATCGGTACGTTCTCTACTACGGACAGGTGTTTGCTTGTTCTGTTTTGGGGCCACTTCTGGCAGTGCTCAGGGCTTATTCCTGACTGTGTGCTCTGGGATCATTCCTGGCAGGGCTCTGGTGACCATATGTGGTGCCAGGTATCAAATGGGGTCAGCCATATCTAAGGCAAACGTACAATGTGTATTAAAAAAAAATTAAAACCAGAAGGTGGGGTTGGAGCCATAGGACAGCAGGGAGGGTGCTTGCCTTGCAGAAAGGTTTGATCCCTGGCTTCCCACATGGTTCCCCAAGCGCCATCAGGAGTAATTCCTAAGTGTAGAGCCAAGAGTAGCCCCCGAGTCTCTCCTGGTGTGGCCCCCAAACAAAACAAAACAACCTCGAAGGTAATGATTTGTTTCTGTGAGACAGGGCTTAACAAAGGTATTCAAACTTCCAGATATTGTTTAAAGGGAAGCATTACATGGAGAGAGGAGAAAAGACATTTAAGCTGTACCTGGGGCCTGAGGTGCAACTCCCTCCAACAGCTGGAATTCCCACTTTTACTTGTCAGCCCACTTGGCTTGTTTCTGGGGCTTGCTTGTTTGGGGGTCAGATCACACAATGAATCCCTGGGATACTCCCAGCTCTTCCTGGCAGTGGTCAGAGGACCCCAGCAGTCTGGGGACTGGTCCCTGGGATGCTAGTCACCTCTTAGCTGCCTCCCAGGCCCTCTGCAGGTCATCTGACCCAAGCAGCAGAGCCAACTCCCCAAACACGGCCTTGCCCCAGTGCTCTGACAGGTGGCCACTCACTTGTGGTGGGCAGGACTGCAGGAGCCCAGGAGGTGGCAGCCGGCCTGCTCCAGGTTCCAGTCAAACATCTCCAACACCTTGTGACACTCGCCTCGCGGCCGCAGCCCCAGCCCAAACAGCTGCTCCACCTGGGGACAGAGGGCCTGGGCTGTGGTGGTGGGGGGAGGGTTCCGGGCCCCCTCCGGGCCAGGCTGGGCAGGGGACAGCGGTACCTTCAGATACTGGGCCGCCCTCTGCACGCTCCAGCTGTGGCTCTGCAGGGCCGCCTGGCACTCCTCTGTGGTCACCCCGTGCACCATGGCCTGCAGCTGGGCACACCCACCCCATCAGCATTCGGGGTGTGGTGCCACCCGCCGGCCCCCGGGCCCGCACTCACCGTCTGGACCTTGTCCGCAGGCGCGTCCCCCGCGTTGCTGTTGTTGGCCGAGAAGTTGGCCTCCGGGTCGGGGGCCGCGTGGGGCATGGGCCGCACGGTGGCGGTGGGCGCAGGGGCGGGCGCGCCGGGCGGCTCGGGGCCCGCGGCCTCGCGCAGGAAGCGCTGGTAGCGCTCCAGGTAGGGCGGGCGCTCGGGCAGCAGGTAGTAGTGGGTGCTGCTGACCTTGCGGCCGTCGCGGACGATGGGCAGGATGCAGGGCGCGGCGCGGGGCCCGGCGGCCTGGGTCACCTGCGGGCTGGCGTACTTGGGGTCGGGCGCGAAGCTCTGCGTGGTGGGCATGGGCGGCGGGGGCTGGCGTGGCGGCAGGCGGGGCGGCGGGCGCGGCGGGGCGGGCGGGCCGCGCTCCTGCGTGGGCTCCCACGGGCACGCCTGCTGCAGCGCCCCGAAGAGTCGCGCCGCGCGCGCGGGGCTGCCCGGGCACGCGGGCGAGTCCTCGTCCAGGGCCACGTCGTCGTAGGCGGGCGGCGGGGGCAGGGGCCGCGCGTCCCAGTCCACCACGGGCGTGGGGTGCAGGGGCCGGGGCAGCGCCCGCGTGGGGCTCTGCGGCGGGGTCTCGTCCAGCAGGGAGACGGCGTCCAGGGCCAGCTGCGCCAGCGAGGGCGCGCAGGGCCGCGGCGCGGGGAGCACGGGCTCACCCTCGAAGTCGATGAGCGCGACCTCGGCCCCGCCGCGCCTGCCCCCGGTCGCGGGCCGGCCCGGCCCTGGCCCTCGCAGGCCCAGCCGCCGCAGGCCGCTGCAGAGCGGGTCGGGGTCCTCGCTCACGGGGTCGTAGGTGGGCTCTGCTGGGGGAGAGAGAGCCGGACCTGACCCTCCGGGCAGGTGCCAGACTTGCTCCCAGCCCTTTCCCTGGGCGTGGGTCCACTCGGCCGGCGACCCCGTGGCCACCTGCCCCGGCGCTCCTCCCAGGCACCCGTGCCCGGCCAGTCGTGACCAGAGCTGGCTCCAGCCCACGGGCCCGCGCTGTCTCGCAGGGCACACACAGGGCAGCGACCAGGCCTGGGGAAGCCCACCCTGGCCTGCGGGCTGGCAGGGGCGAGCTCGGGGAGGGCTGGCAGCCCACACCCCTCTGCTCCCCCCATCCAGGCCGACGTTGGGGAGAGGACAAGGACGAGGGGCCGAGGTCCAGGCAGCCCCACTTACTCTGCGTGAAGATGGTGGGCTGAGGTGGGCGCGGTGGAGGCTCCCCTGAGAAAGGCCATGCGGAGAGCAGAGGGTGGGCGCAGGCAGCATGTGGGCAGTGAAGGCAGAGGGTGGGCAGAGTGGGGGGAGAGGGAGGGAGGGAGGGGGAGAGAGGGAGGGAGGGAGGGAGGAGAGAGGGAGAGAGGGAGGGAAGGATGGAGGGAGGAGGAGAGAGAGAGAGAGGTGAGCAGGTGGTGCATGTGCACAGACCAGGCAGCAATGGGAGTGGAAAGCCATGGGGCAGGACAGGGAGACGCAGCGGGCTGGGGTCAGGGAGATGAACGGCTCTGAGGAAGCTGTGGAAGAGTGGGGTGGGGGCTCAGGAGAGGGCAGAGTGGGAGTGGGGGCCTCAGGAGAGGGCAGGGCTCCGGAGCACAGGGCAGGGTCCCGGCCAGGCGGGAAGAGGGAGAAAGGCTGCCCTGTTAGATATAACTGTCTCTCCCTGTCCATCCGTCCGTCTGTCTGTTCCCCCATGCCCAGCCGCAGCCAGGAACACAGCTGTCCCGCTGCAGCCAAGACCCAGCTGCCCAAGCAGCCAGTGACCCTCTCAGGGTTCAGGATGGAGGGGACTTACTCTTCACCCTTCCGAGATGTGGGGTGGGATGGGAGGCGCTTAGCTCCACGCTCAGCAGGTCGGGAGGGTCCATAGGGTTCCCCAGATACAGTCTGTGGAGACAGCGTGAGGTCAGAGATGCAGGGGAGCCTCCGTCCCCTGGGCCAGCGCACCCAGGAGCCCCCGGGGCCGAAGGGAGGGCTCCCTTCCCCAGACCCCAGGTTTAGAGGCCAGAGAGGCCCAGAGAAGCACAGATGCAAGCCTGGCCCGCACCAGTTTGTGAACCCCCAGAGCAGAGCGGCCGTGGCATCCACACTGCAGCTGCCCCGGCCGGCTTTCCTGCTAACACCCAGAGGCACCGGACCGGGGCCAGCCTGCCCGCCCCCTCCCCCGTGTGTCAGAGTCCCCAGGGACTTGGTGAGGCCACCTGGAGGCACGGCGGGGCTGGCCACAGCAGGCCCTAGAGGGCAGAGGGCAGCCTCCCCCGGGAGGGGCCTGCAATCCCTCCCACCCTCGGCCTCTCCTGGCTTGTGTGTGGCAAGACAGGCCCCGGGTGTGTGAACATGTGTGCATGCATGTGGGGTCACATGTGAGGAAGTGTGTGTTTGTGTGTGTGAGTACGCATGCACACATGTGCTAAGGAGGAAGAGGAGGGCAAGGGTCTTCTTCTTTTCTTTTTATCTCTTACTGTATTTTATTACCCATTACTTTAGGTTGGTATAAGTACTGAGAGGATGTTATAAAAGTTTAAGGTTTAGAGCTCCTGAAACTCTTGACTAGGAAGTCGGGAAGTTCTGGTTACTGGTTGTTTCCAGGGCTCCTGGGGGGAAGCGCCTTCCTTACCAGGCTCCCGAGAGTGGAAAAATGTCTCAGAAGAAAGGGCGGCCAGCGCCAGGCCTGCGGCGCTGTCAACCGGCTCCCAGGAAGTGGCTAATGCTGCTTCCCCCCCTCCCAGAGCGCCCCCAGTGACCTCCCCTTCCACTTACAGAAGACCTAGGCCCCACCTAAGTCCAGAGTGAGCCACGGGAAAAGGAAGTGAGCTGCCTGGAAGGGTTGGCAGGTCTGGGCACAGCTCACTGGTCCCCAGGTCTATGCCCTGCCCAGGTCCCAGCAGAGTGAAGGCCCCGCGGCAGAGCAGGGCACGGCCCAGAGACCTCCCCAGTCCTCACTCGTCAATCCTGTCGGGGAAGCCCCAGCAGTGGCGCGGGTCGCTGTCCCCATGCCCTGTGTGGATGAAGCTGTTCTGCAGAGGCTGGCTGATGTCCTGCGCAGACAGGCCGGCCACGGAGGTGACCACGTTCCGAGGGAAGGGCCCCACGCACAGCGTCCTCGTGTTCTGCCCACGCCACCAGTAGTTCTCAGCCCTGCAAGAGATGGCCAGGGTGAGGGACGGGCCTGGAACCAGGTGCCGGGAGCAGCCCATTTTCTCCCCGGAGCCGGGGCCTGGCCCTGCCTCAGGGCTCGGCCGGCCAGAGCTTGCACACAGCCTGGCCCTGAGGAAATGTCCAAACCTGCAACATCCGTGCCCGGGTTTATCAGAGAGACTGACAAGGGGCTGGAGCGATAGCACAGCAGGTAGGGCGTTTGCCTTGCACGTGGCCAGCCCAGGTTCGATTCCCAGCATCCCCTATGGTCCCCTGAGCACCACCAGGAGTGACTCCTGAGTGCAGAGCCAGGAGTAACTCCTGGGAGCATCACCAGGTGTGATCCAAAAAGCCAAAAAAAAAAAAGAAAAAAGAAACAGAGAGACTGACAAGGCCCAGGACCACCTCGCCTGCCAGGCGGCCCGATCCTCTTCTGGACTCTAACCCTTCTCTGCAGTCGGCCCCACGCAGAGCCAGGCTCTTGCCTGCACTCCTCCCGCAGCCTCCTCCCTCCAGTGCTCCTCGCTGGCGGGCAGTGCGGCCCCACCTTGTGGAGGGGTACTCTCGCGACGACTCCTGCTCTGGAGCTGCACAGGGAGCACCTTTGGGTGCAGCCCAGCGGCCAGTGCCAGGTGCATACTCCCATCCTCGGGGCCGTTCCCCGGACACCCACACCGAGGGCGGGGGGCGTCAGGCCCAGGCTTCTGCCCCAACCCTCCCCGAGGGCACGGCCCATGCCCAGAGATGAAAGGCCACCAGAGCCTCCGTGGAAGCATGGCAGTGCCCAGCCCGCGCCCAGACACAGCCACCCTGTGAGCAGCAGCCCTGCCCGCGGGTGGGCAGGGCAGGAAGGGAAGGAAGAAGGGAGGCGACACCCTGGAAGGGACAAAGCCCATCTGAAAATAGCCAGGCAGACAGGAGGGGGCTGTCCCCGACCCGCAGGCCTGGGCCCTGCCACTGCTCCCACCCCCACTGCTCCTGGGCCCTACACACCCCTACTCTCAGGGTCCCGAGCTGGGGGGTGCAGAGGCAGTCTAGAGCAGAACGCACGGGCACCAGTTCCTGCTTCCTGCAAAGCCAGAGGGGAGACCGCCCCCACCCTTTCCTCACGAGAAGCCGCCACTGCCCCATCTGAGAGGGAAGGACACCGCGGCCCTCCGCAAGCACCGATGCTGCTGGGGACCGCCAGGAACTCCGAGCCGGCCTCCCTGCAGGCGAGGCTCCACCTCTGCTGCCCAGGTGCGCCTGCTGGGGACCGCAGAGAAGTAGCTCTGGAGCCGCCACAGGGCGGGGCAGCTCAGGCCCAGCGTGTGAGGGCTGACGAAGTCCTGAGGGGGCTGAGGGACACCACAGTCTCGAGACAGCCCCGAACCTTGCCCCTCTCTCCACAGGTGCCAGGTTTGAGGACGGTGTTCACTGCCTCTGCCTCTCCTCCGAGTCAAGAGCAGAGCATGGACTTGTGTCCAGCCGAGCTGGCCACCCCACCTGACTCTGGGGGCCTCCCCTGTGGGGGCCCAGTGCACATGAGGATGAAGTCTAACAGCAGGGGGACAGCCAGCGGCCCGGGCTGGCAGGACACAGACACACCGAGGGCCGGCAGACAGGCCCATCCATCTGAGACACAAGCAGGGAGCCGGAACACAGGTGCGGGCGGGCAGCCACACTGGACACTTCCCTCGCCCTCTCCTCCCAGGCCCGGGCAGCTCTGGAGGCCCAAGGGCAGGTGCTGGGGTTCAGGAGGCCTGGGCACAGGAAGCAGCAGCAGGGCCCAGTGCCGGGGACAGAAGGGTGGCCGGCCGTGCCCACGGGGCCTCCCAGGAGGCAGGGCCCAGCCACGCCCACCGCAGCCAGCACCAGGTGTGGCACACACCCCACAAACACAAGCAACCGAGTCACCCCCTGGAAGATGGGAGCAGGAGATGGGGAGGAGGGTGCAGGCCCGTGGGCAGACGCCCCCAGCACCTGGGCTGCAGCCCGCGTCGGGCTCCGGGCCAGGCCTCCAAGTGCCCTGCAGCAGGATGCTCCCGCAGCCCAGGCTGCAGCCCAGGTCACCTGCCCGCTCTGGCCCGCCCCCACGCCCCCCGCCCCCCAGCTCCTGCCCGCACACACACTTGCTGGTCCAGCCTTCCTAGCCAGCAGTCGCAGCCGGCTCTGAGCCCACTGACCCCAGACCCCAGCTGTCCATGTGTAGCCACCGCCCTAGTCCTAGGCCCCTGCTAGGTGGGAGCAGAGGAACGAGGGATTTCCTGGCCCTGCCTCCCTTCCGGTCATCTCTCTAACCCCTACCCTGTCCAGCCAGTTCCTGGGGGAATCAGGCAAGGGGGGGGGCAGGGCTTGGGTGGCTGCAGGCAGGTAACAGGGACTGCAAAACGCAGCCTGGAGGCGAGGAGGAGCCAGGAGAGAGCCCTTCAGGGGACAGAGGCTGGGGGCTGGGAGATGAGGGGGACACACAGGAGTCCCAGTGCAGAGAGGAGAGGAGGGTCTAGAGGAGGGCTGGTCAGGGGTCCCAGAGACCCAGCTGAGGCCCTGCCCACTCAAGGCTGAGTCTCCTGCCCACTGAGCAAGGGGAGGGGGCAGAGGTCTAGGACAGAGCATCAGGGGAGGTTGGCTGGCCCTGCATGGGTGGACCCTGTCAGCACTGTCCGGGCATGGCGCCACAGCCCTCCCCGCACCCCCCTCGCTCCTCACCTGCCCTCGATGACCGTGATGACGTCATTCATCTGGATGTGCAGTTTGTCAGGTTCCTCGAAGTCCTGCAAGGCCCTCATGTCAGTGGGCTGGGCCTGCAGAGAGACACGGGTCATGGCCCACTCTAGCTGAGGCACCCCTACGGGCCCCGAGCCCGCGGCAGCCCCTACCTCCAGCAGGAAATCCCGGAGGGCCACAAAGGTGGGCCTGTCCTCTGGCTTGTGGGCCCAGCACTGGACCATGACATTGTAGATGTCCTGCGGGCAGTCCTCGGGCCGGGGCAGACGCTCACCCTCCTTGTCGATCTTGTGCAGGATCTGGGGGAGGGGGAGTGGCACAGGAAGAGGGCAGCAGAGGGCCAGGCATGCACTCTCCACCTCTCCCTATCCAGGGAACAGGCCTGTACCCCCGGGGAAAAGCTCAAGAGCCCCAGGCCAGAGCCCCAGCAGAGGGGGAGGCTGAGGGGGTACACTCCAGCAAGGCCAGGCTGGGCATCTGAGGGCGTCCTACCTGACTGCCATTGAGGCCAATCCATGGCTCCTGGCCGTAGGTGAACATCTCCCACAAGGTGACCCCAAACATCCAGGTATCGCTGGCATGGGAGAAGGTGCGTGTCTTCAAGCTCTCGGGGGCACACCTACAGAAGCAGGAGCCATGGAGAAGGCATCTCGGGGTACCACCCACAGCCCGAACAAAAACTCTCCTCGATAAGCCTCCGGGGGCCAGGCCTGGGGCAGCTGGGGGCACACTAAGAGGTGGGTCGTGGCAGCATCAGATATGGGGTGCACAGGGAGGAGACCGGGGCATGAAAAAACTGGGAATAAAAGCCCCTGGCCCAGCTCTTTCCCTCAAAGGCAGCCCCAGGAGAGAAGGAGCAGGTTCCCGAGGAGGGGAGTGGGAGAGGGAGGTCAGAGGCTCAGGGGCCAGATCTGGGGGTGCTTCTAACTGTGGCGGGGGACAGTTTCTGGATTTGAGGGCCAACTGGGATCGAGGCACAAAGCAGGCTGGACGGTGTGCAGAGAGGCCCCGGTCACTGCAAACAGCATCCAGCAGGCCTGGGAGTCCATCTGCCTGCTGACTCCTCCCTCCCTCCAGATGTGGACACCCAGGCGGTCCTGCCAGCCGCCTTTCACCCTCTTGTGCCCCCACAGGGCCGCCATCTCCGCTGGAGAAGGGAAGGGGGTGGTGGGCACGACGGCCAGCCAAACCCAGACGAGCCCAGAGCGGAGCCGGCGGGAATGGGACTCACCAGGCAAAGGGCACCTTGCGGTGCTCCTGCATGACGTAGTGGTCGTCGTTCTGGGGCAGTGCGCGCATCAGCCCGAAGTCCCCGATCTTCACCAGGTCCCTAGTGGCCAGCAGCAGGTTGCGGGCAGCCAGGTCGCGGTGAATAAAGCGCTTGGACTCCAGGTAGCCCATGCCCTCGGCCACCTGCACTGCGTAGCGGCTCAGCGTGCCCAGGAGAAAGCGGCCCTGGTGCTTGCGCAGCCGGTCCAGCAGTGAGCCCAGGGGCGCCAGCTCCGTCACCTGGGCCCACACAGAGGGAGGCAGCTGTGAGCCCCGCCCTCCCGTGCCACTGTCCCCTGGGCCCACCCCTGCGACAGAGCCCAGAGAAGCTGCCTGAGGGGTAGGGGAGAGGCCGGAGACCATGGGGCAGGGTGCTCGTGTGCTTAAACTCCACACCCCCGGCCAAGGATGGGTGGGACACTTCCCATAACCCCCCAGGAAGAGAAGCGTAGGTCAAAAAAACCAAGTTCTCTGGTCAGAGGTGGAGACACAGGACCAGAGTTTGTGGTGCGTGTGCACCCCACCCATCCCGGTTCAAGAATCTGATACCACACAGGGTCCCCCACATGCTGCCTGGAGTCACTCCTGAGCACTGCTGGAGATGGCCCAAATCAAAAAAAAAAAAAGTTCTAGCGCCAGCCCCTCCCAGAAGGGAAATGCAGCTAACGAGCAAATAAAAAACTGCAGATGGACACGGCCTCCCGGGGTCCGGCACTGAGACGCAGGTGGGCCATGTGCGCGGGGCAGCTGCAGGCACTCACCATCTTCATGGGCGGCGTGAGCACCACCCCGTACAGGCGGATGAGGTTCCGGTGGTCGAGCGAGTGCATGGCGTTGACCTCCCGGATGAAGTCGTCCATGGCCTCGGGCTGGCTCAGCACGTCTGGCTTCAGGCACTTCACGGCCACACTCACCTGTTCAGAGCAGAGGCTGCAGGAGGTCAGGCAGGTGCAGAGTCCAGCTCCAAGCCAGCCTTGACCTCAGCCCTGCATCTCGGTATGATCCAGGCTGGGCTGTGTGTGTGTGTGGGGGGGGGCACCCCCCAGGGTCATTCCTTCCCGAGGGTGTGCACAGGTTAGGGAAAGACCATCAGAGATGACCAGTGTGACAGGCTATTAAAACATTAGACGCAAGCCGGGAGGTTGATGCCACAGGGGCGAAGATGCTTGCCTTGCATGTGGCAGAACCTGGTTTGATCTCTGGCACCATGTGTGGCATGATCCCCGAGTGACCCAGTGCAGAGCCAGGAACAGCCTCTGAGCATTGTTGGGTGGGATCCACCCCCTCACCCCCCCCAATGTTTTAAAAGAAATTATTTAATAAAATGCTGTAACAGTGGAACACTAGAATGTTTTAGCGAGGGCAAAGAGACAGCTCAAGAAACTGAATGCATGCTCTCCATCAGGGACCCCAAGTTTGATCCCGAGAGCCCTAGGCCTGGAACTGGGAAACACCAGTGAACACTGCCAGGTGGGACCCCAAAATTTAAGAAGCAGCGGCTAGAGAGAAAGTGCCGCGTGAGTGTGCAGGGTGCTGGCTCTGCACTGCTGGCCTGGCTGCGATCCCTGTACCCACACGGTGCTCCCCCCACCAAGAGCTGTGCTCCAAATTTATATCTTAACTACATTCAGCCAAGCATCACGGGGAGGGGGCGGGGGGAACGCACATCCCACTGTGACTGGAAAGACACGAAACGGACACTGAGGCCGTCAGCCCCCGATGCTCACCGTCTTCCCCGAGGGCGCGTCCCACTCGCCCCGGCGCACCACGCCGAAGGAGCCATCCCCCAGCTTCTCTAGGAGGCGCAAGTCCTTCTCCGCGATGAGGCAGGTGAGGCTCTGCAGGGCAGCCTCCGCGGAGGCGGGGCCCCCAGGTCCGGGCGAGGGCTTCCGGAAGGTGCTCTGGGAGTGCTGAGGCGGGAACTCAGCCTCCGGCCGCTTCCCACTGAACACCTGTGTGGAGGCCGCAGGGCTGGAGGAGACCTCAGTGCAGCCTGCTAGGCCCCCCGCGGCGCCCCCTGCTCCCCAGGCCAGCGCCAGGCCCCGGGCCCCCCAGCACCGCCCTGTCCATTTTTAGCCCTGGCCCCTTCGCTGTCGCCCACTTGGCGCTGTCCGTCTACCCTCCCTGGGGAGCCGCTGCCCTTGCTCCTGCCCGCAGAGGAGAATCTGAGCCCGAGGAGCAGGAGCTGGAGTCTGCTGTGAGAGGCCAAGCCTAGAAGACAGCTGGGCTCCTGGGGGCGCTGGGGGCTGACCACAGAGAGGATGGACAGCAGACACGGCCGGCTGGGTCAGCTAGGTGGGGAGAGGGTCGAGGACCACGAGTCAAAGCCCCCAGGCTGGCAGGGCCTCATCAGGCAGGACCCCCGCTGCAGCCCAGGAACTAGGTTCCCGGAGCTTCCTGACCAGAGACAGGGGCCTCCACACGGCCCAGTCAGGGGCCAAGCCAGCGCAGGCAGCCCCCTGCCCCTGCAAGTGCAGCCCAGAGATCCGCCCTCCCCTCCCCGCCCTGGCCGCTGGACACACTCCTCCTCCCCTCAGACCTGGGCAAGGGGCCAGGACAAGTGTCCCTAGAAAAGGCCACAGGATCCCAAGAGACAGACAGGAGACTCCCCTTGCCAGACTGCAGTCAGGGGCCGTGGCCAACCCCAGGGCACAGCTCTGCCCTGCCCACCCCCACCCCAGCCAGCAGTGAGAAGTGGGGCAGGAAGGCCCTGGCTGGCTCACTTCCTCTCGCATTGTCCTCCAGACAATGGGCCAAGGTCCACTGAGTCAGACTAGGCACTCCCCACTCCACAGGCCAAATTAGGACTGGTGAGCAGGAGCAGGGCAGTGGGGAAAGGGAAGGAAGCTATCAGCAAGCCCAGATGTCCAGACAGACAGCTGCGGCGGAACGGCAGCAAGGTTCCCTCCGCTGTGCTGGACTCGGGCCCCTGCGTCCACAGACAAAGCGAGGGTAAGCACCGGTGAACTTGTCAGCAGGCGCCTGCCCCCGGCCCTGTGCTCACAGACCCCTCCTGCCAGCTCCGGCGGAGACAGACACTTAGCGAGCGATAAGGCCCAGCCCAGCAGTAAGGCCGGCCACGGCTGCTGGGACAGGGGCCTGGCCGAGGGGCATGTCCCTCCCCCCGCACTCCCACTGTCCCAAGGCCGCTGACCTTGCTCATCCAAGACTTGCGCTTGCACAGGGCCCTCCTCCTCTTCACAGCCTCCCACAGCCGCCGCTGGCCTGCAGGGGTGTGGGGTGAAGTGGAATGGCCGTCAAAGTCTGCCCAGGACACGGAGCATCCACCAAGGAAGCCACCCCCCACCCCATCCCCCATGCCCAACTTTCTCACTTTCAGGCAACTGGAGATGGGATGGAAAAGAGAAGCCAGCTCCCCAGCAGGGCAGAAAGGGGGGCAGCCTGCTTCCCAAATCCCAGGGAGAAAAAAAAATAGCTTTTCTGCCATCCCACCCCCCAGTTTCTTGGTTCTTCTCCTATAAAATTACATTACACTACTGGCATCCCAGACCAATGACACAGGCCAAAGCCGGGCAGTGTCTCGTTAGGCACCTTACGGCCATGCCAGCTGTTCTAGATCCAAGTGCCAATAGCTTCCTATGTCCCGTAGGGAGGACCGTGACCCTAAAGCCCACGGCTGCTGCTCTGACGGTCAGTGGGGGAGGGGAGCATTTACTAGTAAAGGTTTTCACACAAGGCAGATGAGATGAAAAGAGGAAACGAGCTCAGCGTAGAGCACCTTTGAAAGAGAGGCAGGCCTGGTGTTGGCCGGGTCTCATAACTGCGACACACACACCCTGAGCTGCCACTCCAGCCTCGGCCAGAGGCAGAAAACCAGCCGCCAGGGCCTGTGGGCCCCTTCTCTGCTGCGGAGCAGGCCACCACTCATCTCTCAGGGCAGGCGACAGAGCAGCGTGGGTCAACCCCAAGGCCCAGGACCTAAGAACCACCTCACTCTCCTCGGCCCCCAACCTGCCAGCACTCAGGGTACACAGAAACACCTCCTCCAGGCAGCCGGCAGGCCTGAGGGGAGGGGCGGGAGGTGAAAGGCCAAGGGGAAGTGATGAGTCTCCACTCACCGGGCCGGCCCATGCCGATCTTCTCCAGGTCCTCATTCTTGACGTACTCAAAGTGGGACAGGCGGGTGACATTGAGGTCGTCACGCAGCCGCAGGAAATACTGCTGCAACTGCACCTCGGACAGCAGCTCCAGCAGCCAGCCCGTGCCCTCGTCGGGTTGCATGCTGCCGCTCCCCAACCTCTGTGGGGGAGGGGCGGCTCAGGAGGCGCAGGGACGAGCAGACCCCTGCCCTCCTCCCGCCAGCATCGAAGCAGAGTCAGGGCAGAGGAGACAGGGGCCGGTACCCAGAATCTACTTGGCGAGCGGCCTGGAGTAATTTCTGTTTTCAGGCTCAGGTCTGCTCTTAAACTTCCCAGGGTCATTTGAAAAAAACAAACAAACAACGCACAACCAAGCAAAACCAGCAGATTATGTCTCCAGGAAAACGGACACATTCTTGCTCTTAAAGTTCTAATAGGTTTCCTGAGGGAATGCAGTGTCACTGGGTCTTTCCAAGGCTCCCCAGACCTCTGGGACCCCACACCCAGGAGCCTCTCCCCAGGCCCCAGAAGCCACAGGCTGCCACGAGGGCTGGTCAGGGCGGCAGGGCACTGGGCAGAGACTGGCCCGGTGTGGGCAAAGACAGCAGCCTAAGGAGATAGCAGATCTCTCCATTTTTAATTCACGTGCAATTAAAAAGCAGTACGAGGGGCCCAAGAGGCTGAGCGCATGCAGCAGCCCAGGCTGACCCCCAGTACTGCAAGGCCTGAGCACTGCCAGTTACTCCCTCAGACGCAACAGGGATTACACGAGGGCTGAATCAGGGCTCAGTGGTGAGGCTGAGAACCGCGTTGGGGGGTCGGGAGGTGGGCGGGGGAGGGAGCAGGTATCACAGGCACTTGGTGTGGAAGCCTCTAGTGTGCCGTTTCCCCCAAATGCACAGCCACCAAGCTTCCCCTCCGCAAAGGCCGCTGCTGTTGGTGACCCCAAAGCTGTGGCCCGGATGCTCTCTCTGCCCACCAGCCTGGTGGGGAAACGGGAGCTGAGCACTGCAACTCAAGGTTGTACCCAGAGACCCCTGGGACAGGTGCTGGGGAAAAACCCAGTCACATGCTGGCATGCTGCACAATCTCTTGGTCCCTGCCATTAATGACCTTTTCTATCTCCTTCTAGACCTTGTTTTTCCTACACACAAAGATTCATACATCATCTACATGGTTCTCTTCACTTTCACCTAACGTTCATCTTTCTCCGCTATTTTAGGGGGTGGCGGTAGAGCAGGGAATATTGTCCGGTGGGGTTGGGGGCCACTCCTAGCTCCAGTGCTCAGGAGACCTGTGGTACTGGGAACGAAACCCAGGCCTCCAGCATACAACACGCATGCTCAGGGTACCCAGCCTTGAGTGTTCCTGCTGGCCCTGGCCCATCTCCTCTCCCTTTTCCTCCCTCCTTTTTATTTTTCTCTTCAGGGCACACCCAGCAGTCTTCAGAGGCTACTCCCAGCCTGTGGCTCTGGGGTCACTCTCGCTGGTGCTTGGGACCATATAAGGTGCCAGGGATGGGACCTAAGCTTCCTGCCTATGAAGCACGCCCCTTCTCCTGACTCCTTAATGACGGCAACTGATTCACATACGAAACACACACCACGTGCTGGCCAAACCAAAACACACTGGCGGCCGCGCAGCCCACAGCCAGCAGCGACTGCAGAGCCCAAAGGCACCCCAAAAGCCAGCAGTCCAACCCAGCACACGACAGAGCCATGCTTGGACGCCCCCAAAACCAGACCACCTGGGACTCCTTGTGCAGTCCCCGCGTGGGCAGGAGGGGGAAGGACAGCTGCCCTCACCCCCCTCCTTCCCGACCCAGGCCTCACAGTCTCCCTGCGAGCCTTGCTGCGCTCAGGGGGGCCTGCTGCCCCCGCACTCTGCCAGAGCGGAGACATGTCCAGGCTGCTCCGGGCACAACCAGGAGCGACTAGAGGCAGCGAGGAGCTCTCGGCCCAGAACCAGACTCCTCCAGAGGGCAACTGGGGGGGGGGGGGGGGTCCAGACCTGAAACCCCATGGAACCCCCTCCTGGGTCCCTCACAGGAAAGCTCTGCAGTCCCCAGGAACCAAAGTTACCACATATAGCTGCTGACTGGCCTGCAGACCAGTGACTGGAAACTGCTGCTCAAGGTACACAATCCTAGGAGGGTCCTAGTGGGAAGGTCAGAGGCGGCGGGAATGAGACCACAGACCACTCTGCACTACTCCAAACCACACACACCAAATTCAGGAAGGTGAAAATTCCATTAAATCCTGCGACCCAGGAACGGAATCCAATCGACACCCGAGCAAGAAAGGCACACTTACAGACTTCTCGTTGTGTGTTTGTTTCGAGGCAACTCCTGGTATGATGCTCAGGAACCAGGAGGTGCTGAAGATCAAACCCAGGCATCCCACGTGCAAACCATTTGCTCGCTTCCTGAGCTCTCTCCTCGCCCTATTTTTGCAGTTTGAATGCACTGACGCTTTCTGAAATGGAACTACAGCATAAGCTAAAGGAAAGCTGGTCTTCGCTTTGTTCAGAATGTGGCAAAACTTGTTTGCCATTTGAAAGCATGTCCCGGTGGCGACCCACCTAGTCAGGACTTGTAGATGGTGCCTTCGCAGGTCTCCACCTGAGATATCACATCTGAGTACTTCATTCTGCTATCATGCACACACACGACAACATGTGAAATGCTAGAACTAGTTCTGTGCTTCCTTAGTTAGGGGCCTCATCTGGCTCAGGGCTCTGGGGTTACTCCTGGAAGTGCTCGGGGGAACATGCTGGCCCCCTGCATGCAAAGCATGTGCTCCAGGCTTCTGAGCCAGTTGCAGGGCCAGAATCACTTTCATTTCTCCTGTATGTTACAAGGGTCCACCCCCCCCACACACACAGCCCACCCCATAGTGAAAGGTTTTTACTTCTATTCATCTTATCTATGAAGAATATCAAAACAGCCAACACTCCACCATCTATATGAACTCACTTATCCTTAATGTGTTACCAAAAAAGGGCATGAGCACCACTGCTTTGCACGAGAAACCCCAAAGGTAACCCCCCAGGCCCCAATCCGCCCCGAACTGTCTCTCTCCTTGGCCAGGCCAGGCAGAGCCAACCTCGATTTCCATGATCTCCAGCAGCCAGCAGCAGAGGGACCCACCTCCTGAGAGCTCAGCCTCAAAATTAGGGGCTCTGAGTCTGTCAGGGAAAGTGGTCTGCAAGACTCTTCCACATGGTCCCCACGCCTCAGCTCCCCATCCGCCTCGGGGCAGGAGGTGGGCTGCTCTAAGAACAGCTCCCAGGCCCACCCTGGGGGTTCAGGGCAGGGAATACCCACAGGCCCCTTCCCTGAAGAGGCTCAGGAAATCACAGTCCAGGGGCTGCATTTGGCCTTGCACTAGGCCGACCGGGTTAAATCCCTGGCATCCCATAGGGTCCTTCAAGCTGACTAGGAGTCCCTGTGTGCAGAGCCAGGGCTAAGCCTTGGGCGCCGCTGGGTGCGCCCCTCCCACCACGCCCCCTCCCCCCAAAGGAAAGCACAGTCCAACCAGTTCCTCTCCCCAGGGGAAATCTGCTCAGCAGCACACCCCACTCCCTGCCCAGTGCGCGGTCGGCCGGCGAGGACGCCAGGACCCTGGGAAGAGACTAGGTCCCTAATGCTCCCCCCAACTCTTTCCTGCAGCCCCAGTCTGTCAACAAAGCACAGACTAATTGGGGTGCTGCACCCGCAGCTCAGAGGCACAACTTCCTATGTGCGGCCTACCTGGCCGTGCCACTGTGGCCGGCGCCTACCCCAGGAGTAATCATGCAGCGGCCAGGACAGTGGCCAGACCCCTCGGCCACTCCCAGCATGGCTCGGGAGCTGACCCCGGGGTGCCCGCCCACAGCCGCCCCCACTCACTGTGTACAGTCGCCGCCGCAGTCTGGCCAGGAGAGGGAAGGAGAGCTCCAGGCCAGGGAACCGGCGAGCTGCTGGCATCTCCACGGAGCTGGACCCCTGACCGGGTCCCCGGGGCTCTGGCCTGAGAAGTGGGGTGGGGCAGCTCCTGAGCTTCCAGGCGTCCCTCCCAGCTCTCAGCGGCAGGGGCGAGAGGGGACAGGACAGAGGAAGGCCTCTCTCTCTTCTGGGCTGCCCAGCTGCCGTCACAGCTGGCCCGGCCGGCAGGGAGCTGAGGCCACGGTCCCCGTTCTCTGGCAGGCGGCAGCCGGCGGCCGCTGTCCTGTCCTTCTCTGGGGCTCCCCCACCCGCCAGCCTGCCCGCCCTCCTGCCGCCCGCCTCCTGCCCTCCCCAGCTCAGCGGCTCTGACACAGGCTGAAAAGGGACCTTTCTGAATCACTGCCAAGAGGGCTGCGGGATGGGGCTCTTCCTTCCCGCCCCCCGCGCGGGCCCCCCTGCCTCCCCAGACACAAGGCCCCCTGTCTCCGGCTGCCACCCCAGCCCCCAGTCACAGCCGACTCTCCTGGGCTTTCAGGGAGCAGACTCGCCAGCCTAGTGCAGGGGACAAAGAAGGGCTCCCGGCCCAGGGGGCTGCTCTGTGGGGAGCTGATACTCTGCTGCGCTGGCAGCTCCTGGCTCAGACCCTGTGTGGCCCTGGTGCCCGACAGAAACAGGAGGCCCTGCCAGGGTGGGGCAGCCTAGTGGGGGAGGGGCTACCATCCCTCCCATGCAGTGGCACTGTGTGCTTCCCTTGCATTTAGAGTGTCCTCTCCAAACCAACTGGCCAGTCTCCACGCCCCCCAGCCAGACAAGGCCCCAGTCCCCTCTACCAGGAGTTTCTGGAAGAGACCCCAAGACACAAACCATACCCCCAGCCGAAGGAACTGGAGACACCCCAGCAAGTCCCCGCGGGCCCCCCACGTTCCTAGAGTGGACAAATGATCCCTCTGCCCCTCCTCAAAAAGCACCAGCTGCTCCAGCACCCCTGACAGCTGCAGGAAGTGCTCCCCGGCCCGTTTCATACACTGCTCTCTGTCCCAGACAGCTAGCTGGCGGCCAGCTGCCCAGCCAGACGGCTGGAAAGAGGGGTCAGGGCATCAGCATCCCCGATGCCCTCTGCACGGTTCCCTTAGGATGTGGCCACCTTGTTGCCAAGGTACCAGAACAAAAGAGATTTCTTGCTCAAAGCCTGGAGTAGGGATGAGCTATGGGACAGTCTTAGCAACTGTCTCCTC